TGGGCTTTTTGGATACGGTCTGATTGTAGTTCGAGATGGCTCGTTTGACGGGGTCGCGCACTATGACGAATGAATGGATCAATTTGTGCATTTATTCCGTTTAATTTGTCGTACAATAATCATCACACTGGATACAATAATTCAGTTTGACTTGTTCGTTGATTTCTGATGAGAATAATTTCTAATTTCACTTTGACATTTGAATTTTGCATGGGTAATGAAAAGACGCGATCGCCGAACTTCGACACTACGACGGAACACTTCGCGACAATTCGGATCGGGCGCGAATTTCAAAATACGATTTTTAAAACCTTTTTACAGTGAATGAGCGCGATGCAACGATTTGAAAAAAATACTGGCCGATAGCCCTCTTCGACCTCCACAAAGGCATCACTCAATAATAGCTTTAAAGTGATCTGGGGAGATATTATAAAATAAAAACCAATTTCCATGTTAATTCCCTATATCCAGACTTGGATGCGGCACCTGTATATTGTAGATGATGTTGAAGTAAAAAACTGTGTTAAATTCTAGCTAGGTACCCATAAATACAGATGATAACACTTTTAATTTTTTGTTCACAACTTTCAAATGAAGCATATTAGAAAAAAACTTTTGAAATGCTAAATTTAACACGTAAGAATTTTTTTTTGCACAATAAAGAGTTTTCAGAGGTAATTATCCCCGTTAAAAGTGTTCATGGGCACCTAGAATTTTGCACAGTTTCTTACTTTAGTATTCTCTACGATATATACTTGTACAAATCTCGACCCAGGTTGAGGTTACATTATCACAAATTTTAATCACATCGCTTAAAAAAAACTGGAATTAAATCAAATATTTTTTCAATAATTTTTTTTCAAAAACTAAACTGCCTCTTCTGAGTACCTGAGGTGGAGGTAGTTTCATTATATATTCATTTTCTTGGATCTCCCCCTGATCTTTAATGTCCGGAAACATAAAAGCATCCGGAATTTTTGGATTCCTTTTCAAAAAATCACAAAAAATAGGGTAAAGTGATAACACTTTACCAATGTAACATTTTTTGTTTTGTTTTTGAGTTACTATAATATAATCGTCTATATTTAAGTCTGGTTTAGAACGATCAGTTTTACTATTTTCAGCCTTGAGATTCAAACGAGGATTCAAATCATCAGAATAATTGGAAGAATTCAAACTTTCGGTGTCCGTGCTGTCATCATATTCGATACTACTTGAGTTGTCTAAATCAAATGAGTCACTTGATATATTACAGCGTCTTTTTTGTTTTCCAATTTGGACTGGTTTTTGAATTTGAGATATATCTTTATGTTGAAGGCAGGTATCTGTTTCTGAGTTAACTCTACTACTATTACATTTCTTATTTTGAATAAATCTTTTGACACGATCCACACTGACGCGATCCTTTTCATTGTCTAACAGCCATCAAAGTGAAGACTTTTTTATAACTTTTGTTGTATTATCTAAACGTATTCTGACTAGATCACCTTTCTCAACAAAAATATCGTCACTATCAAAACTTCTAAAGTGTATGTCAAATTTCTTAGATTCGTACGAAATTGTGCAAAGATCATTCAGTAAATCTTCATCTTGGTTAACTGGATCCTTTTCCAAACTTTGAAAACAGTTACGTTTCATGGCTATTTGAGAATTGTTGTAATTTTCAATGTGATCGCACTGTTCTTCACTAAACATTTCATTTTCAACTTCGTCATTGCATTCATTGTCTTTACACGGAGGCAAAAATACATAGCTGAAATCTATCACTTCCATTCCTAAATCTTCAGTGACACGCAGACAATCCCGTAAAGCTGATTCTACGGTGTTTTGTATATCTTTATCTGAAACGTTTCCTAAGTCATCATTTTTCACAAAATCTCTCTCTGTGATTGAACTTTTTTTCCTGATTTCTCTAGGAAAAACGAATTTTTTATCCAAATCGTTTTTAATGTTGTTTATAGTTTGCAGTCTGTCACTTCGATGCAACATATCTTTTATACTAAAATTAATAATTGTGCTAAAAGTTGAGGTCATTGATCTAAGGCTTCTAAACATACTCTCACAATAAGTTTGAGAGCTAAACTTCCAAGGTAAGAACATATCATCAGTAAGATTTTTGCACGACCTGAACTTAATGAATTTGTTACCTCATATCACAAACTCAATTTTTAAAAACTAATTTGGGGTGAAATTATAAATTTGGTTTGTAGGTATAAAGCAATATTATCTATCATTTTTCATCGGAACTGCACTTTATGCTGTCAATAATTAATAAGTATATGCTGGAATTTTCTATCATTATGCCCTTAAAAGGTTATTTAATCTCCACTTTTAAGATTAAATTGATATTTTGTTTCTTATGATGAATGCTATGACTTATGTCGTACATGTTACGTTTATTAGTTCTAGAAAATATCTAATTTAACTGGATTTGCTATGATCATTTTGGATTTCCTTTGTTTTCTTGTTGATTTCTCGTTAATTTCTCATTGATTTCCTCTTGATTTCTCGTTGATTTCCTCTTGATTTCCTTTTGATATCCTTTGATTTCCTCTGATTCCCTTTTTGATTTCCTGTGATTTCCTTTGATTTCCTCTAGCGTGTACAGTTGATTTCCTCTGCGGTTTACCCCTCGGGTTGTAATGTCATTTGAAGCCACAGATGCACAAAACATTAAAAAAGCTCAAGAATTCCTCAATAAAGCAAACGTTAAAAATTAACTCTTGTACATTAAAACTCACTTTAAAATTATTGCTGATGCAATAGAACAATTAGAAACTATAGGTTTAAAATTAAACCAAAGTATGGAGATTGTGGAAAAAGTGTATACATCTTTAAAAACACACCAGGAAAGGTGGGGGAAATGGCGTTCCAAAAAGTATGTTCTCTATTAAAAAAGAATCCAGGATACGATTTTATATGTTCAGTACCTAAATAACGTAGGTAATTTGCGGTAATCGAAATGCTTCCAGCAATACATACATAAATGAAAACGTAGATTGTTCAATATTTAATTTTGCACCCATCACTTCTTGTGATGTGGAACGCACGTTTTCAAAACTTAAAAGTGTTTTAAGCGATCAAAGGTGTAACTTTACAATCGAAAATTTAGAGAAATATATAGTTTGCTTTTGTAACTGATTTTAAGTACCTGAATTAATATTTTATTTTATTCAGAACATTTAATTTGATTTCATCAGTCATTCAATTTTTTTTTTTGTAGCTGAGCATTAAGCGGTGTCTTCAACAGGCACAACTTAGTCGCAGCTTTGTTTTCTTTTTTTTTGTCAGTGGAGGAATAAATGATTTTGTGTCCTCCATAAATTTTGAATTTTTCGCGTGCTTTCGATTTTTTTTTTTCTCATGTCATTTTAAGGCGGGACAATTTAAGTAAGTAGGAGACATAAAATAAAAAATAAAAGACACGGAAAGAAAAGAAGATCAAGACAAAAATGGCAAAATTGTGTCGAAATAAGGAAACTACCTAAACAAGGAATATGTATGGCGTGGAAAGGAATTAAAAATAAGACCCAGACACACTCAAACTCAACTTTACTCGCCAAATTTACACTTCAAAGTTGAAAGGGATACGATTAAGAAGTAGAAAACTCTTTCTACAACGACATAATTATTCAGGAGTTTTATAAGAGTAGTATCAAATATCCCCATTGTATAGTACAAAATCAAAATAGATCTTATAGATTTTTGTAAACATATTATCCATTTCAATTTAGAGTTAATTATTTATTTATTGGTTTGTTTGTTTGTTTATTATAACTATTGTGTGGACAAGATCTACTATTAGCACTACTCTGGTGTATTGTGTGTACACTACTCAAGAACTTATTTTTAATTGTGATGTCGAGACCAAATTTCTGATAAAACAATAGCAATATTTCTCATGTAATTTCCTTCTAAATGTGACGTCATCTATCTGCTACAAATAATATAGCATTAAAATAAAAAAAAAGAAAAAATAATTTTATTTAAACAAACATTTTCATTGTAATTCAAAAACATACACTACTAATAAGTACAGTGTTATCAAAATAGCCACAGAGTGCACGAGTATCAATCAATAACAATACATTATTGCTTATGCCTTTCAACTAAATAATATATAAATCTCCGATGAATATCAGATTTGTTAAACAACCTACAACATTCACTTTTTACATAAGCAAACTTCTGATGGGACTCTGATAAAGTAAGCAACGGATTCTCATTAAAGCCATCTACATTATCAATATAATCAAACATGTCATCATCAAAGGAAGAACTTTCATTGGCCTTCATCCATAACTTCAAGGTGTACACTAAATTATCCTTTTTAATTATGTTGGTGAGGTAGAACTCAAAGACACATCTGCAGGGTGAATCATTAAGGCAGTTTTCTATCCTATCGTTGAATTTTTCAATTTGACTAGTTGTGAATTTGGTAGAGGCCATTTATTTCCCTTAAATTAAACGAAAATTAAAGGAGAAAACGGAAAAGGAATTTCAAGTACTTACATTCGCCATTACTGTTAATGGGTGTTAGGGGTTCATTGTTATTCAGATCGTGAGAAACTCTGTTCCCCGATTTCTGAAAACTGACCTATGACATAACCTCAGACTTTTGACAGTTTAAGATATCTGTTTAGTGATTTTCGGTGGTGACCTGGTGACATTGGTTGTCAACATAAATAAATAAAGCTAAATTTAGAGCTGCACTTGGATACACAACGTAAATCACCAATCAAAATTATTTTGTTCGTCCTCTTCAAAAATTTTGCAGCAAAATAAATCTTATGTACGGAGTCTAGAAACTATGGGTACAATAGGAATTTTAGTGGTGACTGTACATTCTGTGTTTAATACCGATACCCGATACGGACGTGGATACGATGCGCTTGCGTATGCAGCTACAAATAATAAACTGAGCTTAAGCTGGCGTTACTCATCTTGAACATTACTATTTGTTGTTCGCTTATTTTTAATTAACGGTGAGTTTAAGCAAATCACCTCTCAAGAGACCCATTACTAATTTACTGCTCGCTGTTCTCTCAAAATTCGAAATTATCTCACCGGTTCCTTTTTATGTTGGTATTTATTGACACTAGTGACTAGTGACACTTGACATTGACAGTTGCGTGTTTCAGGTTTCTCGCTGTGTGTGACAACAGACATAAACAAACATTTCCAACACAATTCCAGACGTCCCAGCACACATAAAACAAACAAAACCCGCTAAAACAGTGTTTGCTAACCTCCACAATGACGACGTCGGAACAAATCGGGCTCAACAAAACCTGGGAGCTCTCCTTGTACGAGCTTCACAGAACCCCCCAGGACGCCATAACGGACAACACAGAAATCGCGGTTTCCCCCCGAAGCCTCCACAGCGAACTCATGTGCCCCATCTGCCTCGACATGCTGAAGAAAACCATGACCACAAAAGAATGCCTCCACAGGTTTTGCTCAGACTGCATCATCACAGCTCTGAGGTCCGGAAACAAAGAGTGCCCCACGTGTCGAAAAAAACTGGTATCGAAGCGGTCGCTGCGGCCGGACCCCAATTTCGATTTGCTCATCTCGAAGATTTATCCTAGTAGAGATGAGTACGAAGCGCACCAGGAGCGCGTGTTGGCGAAGCTGAATAAGAGCCACTCACAGGCCGCTTTGGTTAATTCTATAACTGAGGGTATTAAGATTCAGTCACAGAATAGGCCGAACAGGTCGAGGAAGAATAATGACGTGGAAAGGAATAATGAGACACAGGGGGAGAATTCAGTGGCTGCCCACAATGAGAGTTCAGTAAGTAGGAATGATGTGGGTCATGGAATGTGAGTGGTGAAGTATGCACCATTAATTTATTTTTGGTACTTTTATTTTAGATAAGTATTTTTGATAAAATGTGTTGTTCAAAATGTGATATCTTTCCTAATAGAGTTAAGACTATTCTGTTGAGGTGATAATATCATGCAATAATGTTTGATTTATCTTAGGTTGTGAGTTTGTGGTATATGAATTTTTATAAAAGATGCAGAGATTAATAGAGATGCAATTTATGTTTATGTATTTGAGATATATAAGACTGAGTTAGGGCAAACAAACTTTTACGTCATATGTCTTGATTTACTACGAATTTGGCGCAAAGATTTGATTGCTAAATTATATTACGAATTTTTCGCAGGCGATAAATAATGAAATATCGAAATTGTTAGAGAAAAGTGAACATTTTTGTTTCATTTACTTGTAAGAAAAAAATATGTGATGTTTAATAAATTAGAATTTAAAAATAAAGTTCATATTTTTGTGATTTCACTTTTTTCCAAATTTATTATTTCGTGATCAACGTTACTTTAACTAAATTTGGTTTCAAAGTACGACTACAGTGTGTCAATTTTTTTTATCATAAAGCAGGTTGAAACTAGTTAAAATATTATTTACTATGTAATTTAGATTTTTCCAAGATGTTTTGTTCTGTATGGTTTCCGTTTTCTTTTGTGACTCACTGGTTTACTTCATTATAACAATTATTATAATTTAATTAAAGTAAAAACAAATATTTCCTGTTGAAATAATAAACGAACGTAAAAAATAAGCTTGGGTTATTTAACTTTTAAAGAAAAGCAAATATATACAACAAAAAATAAAACTGCACAAATAATAAGAAAGGTAAGAATTAAATACTGTAGAAAATATAACAGTATGAACGATTTAAAGACACATTTACTAAATTGTAAAATAGCGATGTTATTAAAATTTTAAGTAACATTTGAAATTTAATGTCAAAAGAATTACGTTGGCAACACCAACTGCTCCTGTCATTATTTTAAAAATTTCATGGCATACTAGGTTTTTTATATCACATGGTACACCTTTTCTTTGAAATGTGTCAACCATTTGTTTGGAACGTAAAAATGTAGTCGTCTCAAGAACTGTTGAAAATAATGGTAGCTCCAATAAGAATGACGTCACAAATGTGTACAGAAACTCAAAAAGGGCGTAATTAAAAACATTAATTGACCTGTTGACACCAAAATTTAAAAATTACGAAAATAAAAATAAAAAGTGGACTGCAAACATGAAAATATTAACGGTTAACGATTGCTTTAAATTCGCACAAACTATGAAAATTTTACACTTTAGTTGACTGTATGGCGGATGACTCATCGGCCGGGCGGCGCGGCGTTCGCTGACGAAAAGCCTGGAAGCGGAAGTCGCGATGGGAACCCAGAAAACCCTCGAAGCGGCGTTCTCGAATCGTCGAGAGGAACGTATAGGTTTAGAGGCCACCGTCGGGAACGATGATTATTATTTAGTCGATTTAGTCCTCGAGAGTGCAGCTAAGTTGCGCCGGAAATTATTTTGTACATATTCGCTCTGTAATAAGTCGTGTAAATTCGAGTTATTGAGAAATAAATTGTTGAGTTTTACCCACCGTTCAACGTAACAATGTAACTTTTTTAAATGCAATTTAAATCAAAATAAATTGAACACTGACTAGAATAAACTATTTCCAAGATAAAACAGGCCAAAGCTAGGAAAGTATTGTAATAGAGTCCATCCGGTGAACGGCTGCTTTGTTTTCTCGACGTTTCATGACTCCTAGAGAATGAAAAAGTAGGTCCCCATCCGATTTTATGTTTGTCTGTCGTCTCTTGTCTGTGTCAATTTTATTATACAAGTAATCTCCAAAACTACCGGTCCGATTGATGTCAAATTTTATAAGTGTTTTAGGAATATCGTGTCAATGGTGAAACGCTAAGTAAAATTTGTCTGATTAATAAAAAATATTCGAATAAATACTTGCTATTAATGTTCTTTGAGATAAAAGTAGTGTACATTAAAATAATGTTTTTTTTTTTTTAATAGAGCACCTATATATTTTTACATTTTCTTATTGGCTTCTTTTTTAAAATTTCGATGTGACGTTGCCACGTTATTCCAACTTTCTTGAATATTTTTGCAATAGTGTTCCTTTTAAAATCTGTGTTACAATATTTTCTAGAAACATTAACAAAGTACATACTTTGTTGAGGTGTAAATTAAATTGAAAATATTACAATTTTCAAATATCAGTACATATTTTAGTTTTTTCAAATAGAACACCCTATTACTGCATCTTACTTTTTTTTTTGTTAAGTATTTTGTATGTCTAAAATTGATAGTTTCACCTTTTTAACAGACACACCGATATATTGAAAGTAAGAGAACAAAAAATTCAAGTGAGATACAGCAACGAAACACAGGTGTTTTATTTTTTTATAAACACTCTGTATAATAAAATTTGTATTTAATGGGTGTCACAAAAAAGGGCATTCTCTGTTTATCATTCTATAAAATGTTACAACACAATTTATAAAAATAACCCATTTATATGAAGTATAATTTGCTAAAAAATTCTAGAAAATGGGGATAACGTGGCAACGTCGCATCGGAATTTCAAAAATAAACTATAGTTATGAAGGAAGCCAATCAGAGTGTGTTAAAATAGATAGGATTTCCACAAAAAAGCTGTATAACTTTGGTCTTGAACTTTTTTCTACCTCTAATAATAATAATAGTTATTATTTATTTTCGGTTAAATTTTAAGGAATCTGTTGTTTTGTTGCTAGATGAACTTGAAAAAATCTTCTAGTGTCTTTTCTTATAATAATTTAATTAAATTTTCTTAGGGGCTAGATCCTTTGCTAAAATCAGTCTTATCTTAGCAGGTGGTATTTTGATATTTTGATCATTTTTTGTAAAAGTTAGTCATCAGTACTTATTAAGATAAAACTGATTTTGGCAATGACATACCTTCTAAGAAAAGCGAGGGTGGGTGGGCGGGGCTAGGAGCTGCCAAGATAAGACTGATTTTGGCAAATGAGATATCCTCTAAGAAAAGTGAGGGCGGGTGGGTGGGGCAAATACCTGCTAAGATAAATGTGATTTTTGAAAATGAGGTACCCTCTAAGAAAAGATAGGGTGTGTGGGCGGGGCTGGTACTTGCTAAAATAAGAGTTATTTTGGTAAATGAAATACCTTCTAAGGAAAGAGAGGGCGGGTGGGCGGGGCTAATACTTGCCGAGATGAAAGTGATTTTGGCAAATGAGATATCCTCTAGGAAAAAACCTTCTAAAATAAGACCGAGTTTGGTGTGATATAACGGGAAGGTACAAATCTTTGACGTATCAAAAATTGTCACTTTTCAAAACCCTACGTTTAAATTTAAAATGTTCTCAGTGTTTTGTTGCTGGATGAACTTGAAAAAATCTTTTGATCTTTTAGTGTTTTATTTTTTACGAATGGAGATTTTTTTTTGTAAATTATTTAAAACAGTTTTGGGGGACTTTGGTGTTCTATTTTTGGAAAATTCTGACCTGACCTGTTTTTGAGTTAATTTTGGGACCCCGTTTTTTTTTTGAAAATTTTAAAACAATCATGAGGTTCTAGGTATTTCTGGAACCTCTACTAATGTCTTTTCTCGTAATAATTTAATTACATTTTCTTAGAGGATATGTTCTTTGCTAAAATCAGTCTTATCTTAGCAAGTACTAGCCCCGCCCTCGCGCCCTCAAGTACTAAACCCGCCCCCCGCCCTGTATTTTTTTTAGAGGGATCTAAAATTAAGTAACCCACGTTGTATTAAATATTAATAACTGGAAAATTTCAAAATATAATTCTTACCATTGACTTACGTTACGTTCGAATGTAATAAAGATAATAAACCTGTTAACACAAAATCACCATGGTAAATTCGTAATACCATATAATCGGAAAAAAAGTCCATATGGTACTAAATGATAAAATTAATCTTCTATACGCCAAATTAAATTTGCTTCACAGCAAATTCAGAACTAGTTAGTAATTACATGAAAGATTGATTTTTTTTATCTAAGGGAAACAAAATTAACAACAAAAGGAATTAAAAGAAGAATTTAATATTTCCTGGCGAAATTTCTACTTGACCTGAAGTGACCCGACTTGACCTGACCCGACCTGACCTGACCTGACCTGATCCTATATTATTATAAGACACTGCCTGTATTCCCCTTACATCACCACTTCCTACTACTCCTTTTCAAGTATAAACCAGTTATAACGGTAATGTATCTTTTGCAGAACGCCTCCAACCCGGCCAACAGTACAACCGCCTCCAGCAACCCCTCTAACCCGCCCGCCTCCGGGGCCGTCAACAGCGTCAGTAGCCCGGCCCCTTCGGGCCGCAGCACCCCCTCACAGCCCCCGAGTCCCGTCTCGTCCAACGTGAGCTCCATCAGCAAGTCCATAAAGCGGCCCAAAAGCACCCTAACCTCCGAAAGGAGCGAAGAAAGCGAGTCGAGCGAACGCACCGAGCAAACGGACACAGAAGGGGAAGGTCCTTCCGAACCCATGACCCTCAACGAAATCGAGCTGGTGTTCAAACCGCACCCCACAGAGATGTCCGGTGACAACCCTTTGGTGAAAGCGCTGAAGGAGAACTCGATTAGGTACATCAAAACCACGGCGAATGCCACGGTCGATCACTTGCACAAGTACCTGGCGATGAGGTTGACGTTGGATCTGGACTCGCAGCTGCCAACCACCCATAGTTTGCTTAATTTTTGTATATATATCTCGCCGACGACGGGGCAGTACGTGCAGTTGAACGGGAACCAGACGCTGGGGCAGGTTAATGATAAGTACTGGAAGGTGAATAAGCCCCTGGAAATGTACTATTCGTGGAAGAAGACATAGGGAACGCGGAAGGGGGTGCAGAAGACCCCCTAGGCGAAGTTGAGATACAGGGTATATGAATGTTTTGAGGTCTATATTGTCCCAGTGGCTAGCTGTAACATAAAAATTAAATTTTTGTTGTCAGGCGAAAAATAAGCATCATGTGTTGTTTCTGTGTATCACAATAGATTAGATCTGTCTGATATGATGTAACTATACCCTTTATCTTACTGTACTTTTTAAACTTTATATAAACAATAAATACGATTATTTAACAAAGTGTGTTTATTGCTTTGCCATGAGTTGGTATATTTAGCTATAGTAGACCAGATGAGTAGGTGCTAAGACGGTTTGAATGGTAGTGGGGAGTAATACTCAGACCAACTAGTTTGTTGATTACTGATACACAAGACTTTGAACCGGTTTAGCGAATTCTTATCGGCCTGTCCTCACTGTGTTGGTTGCGATGGCGGCGAAAAGTTTAGCCCGATTTGTGTTTTCCAAAATTTCGGCAAACCAAATTTCTAATAAGGTTTTGCTGAATAATAGTGTGAAGTTTTACAGTGCTGCCGCTGGTGAGTATTTTTGAGGTTATGTTATTAGATGTCCTAGCCAAAGAAAAGTTTTAATTTTTTGGGTGCGTTTTTGTGAAAAATTACACACCTATAGCTTGTGGAAATAGTTTTAGTAATTAGTCGTGAAATATAAAAATAGGTGGAAGTAGGAATTTAAAAAATTGTAATTAATTCAATGTATTAAGTTCAAGGTTATGGAATGCAATAGCAACAACAGACTGTTAAATAATTCGATAATAAAATTGTAATGCCAACTTGAAAATTATGCTATTTTTTAGTTGATGGTGATTGGTGATATTAAAATTTCCACAAAAATGTTCAAACATGTCGATAGAGCGCGCCTCACACTATTGTCTGAATATTATTGACTTTTTTGTTTTTTTCACGTTTAAGTGAAAAAAAATTCTTTAAAACATCAACGACAGAGTTTGACCTTCAGCTGTATTAGTTCGGAATGGAAATGTCTCGTCGAGACTCAGTTTAGGGTTAATTGACAAATTAACATTTTGAATCATTATTATTTTTTTTTATTGTTATTAAACGACAGTTGTTCAAAATATGCAACATTCTTATACCGGGTGTCTGGAAAATGGCGGATTAACTCTTCAGTACGTTATATACTGAAGTTTCGGAAGTCGCAAAAAAATAATGGTCTTAGCAGCTACTAGATAGGATAAGACTGATTTTGGCAAATGACATGCCCTGTAAGAAAAGAGAGGGTGGGTGGGCGGGACTAGTACTTCCTAGGATACGACTGATTTTGGCAAATGAGATCTCTCTAAGAAAGTAGAGAGCGAATGGGGGGGGGCTAGTACCTGCTAAAATCAGTTTTATCTTATCAACTACTAGCCCCGCCCACCCACCCTCTCTTTTCTTAGAGAGTATGTCATTTGCCAAAATCAGTTTTATCTTGGCAGCTACTAGCCCCACCCACCCACCCTCTCTTTTTTTACAAGGTATCTCTCATTTGCCAAAATCGGTCTTATTTTAGTGCGTACTAGCCCCACCCACCCACCCTCTCTTTTCTTAGAGTGTATGACATTTGCCAAAATCAGTTATTTCTTAGCAGCTACTAGATAGGATAAGACTGATTTTGGCAAATGACATATCCCCTAAGAACAGAGAGGGTGGGTGGGCGGGGCTAGTACTTCCTAGGATACGACTAATTTTGGCAAATGAGATACCCTCTAAGAAAAAAGAGGGCGGGTGGGTGGGGCTAGTACCTGTTAATGTAAGACTGATTTAAGCAAATGACGTATCCTCTAGAAAATGGAATTAAATTATTATAAGAAAAGACACTAGAGGCTCCAAAGCACTTTCAAATTCTTTCCAAACAGGAATACCTAGAACTTCAAGATAGTTTTAAATTTTCGAAAAAAAAACTTGGTCCCATCCGTGCACGATCTTATATAGTAGGGTTGGCCATGAAAATCTAGTGAGTTTGTTGGTATTTGATGCAGAAGAATAAAAATTCCCTGAACTTTTTTCGTTAGGTTGTGTTTTATTAAATTAAAGGTTAAAAAATATGCCAGAAATATAAACATTGTTGCCGATACTTTCAGTTTTCAGTAGCGATGACCAAGTTAACGGTATCCATTTCTTAGAAAGCATAAAACATTACGCTATTTAAAACAGTTATTCGGCTTTTTGTAAGTGTTTATTTCATATGTAAGGAACAAACACTAAAATTTCACTTAAACGTTGTTTTTATATGAATGGGGGTTCTACATACGACTATTGCCGCATGCTACATTTAGCATCTTATCTTTAATTCTCAATCATCAGTTCGTTCTGCTCGCCCACTCTTCCTAGAATTGGAAATTTCGACCTTTGTGAACAGGCTATTTCCATATCTTCCAACTTCTTTTTTCACTTTTTTTAAGATTACTAAAAGGGTTGGTAAAAGTGTTAAGCTTTCTTACTATTTCAAGTCAGACAATGTTTTCTTTGGGTTTCTTTACTGAACAAAAAAAGGCGCCTTGTAACTAAAGAAACATTCCTGACAATTTACATACTAATATTAAAATGACGGACCCTCACAGACTTTTCTTTCAATGCCGTCAATATCAAGACTACACCGCCATTTTTGTAAATATATCAGCAAGTTGGTTACCACTATCAACATGTTTGAATGTGACGGTCCTGTCAACATGTTCTTGAATGAACCTCCGTGGGATTTCTATATGCTTCTTTCCTTTTGTAGTTTTACCTTCATGAGCGTTGTACATCATATGAATTGCCGCTTGATTATCGATAAGTAATTCGATGGGTTTATCTTCCTTTACAATTTCAAATTCCAGACAAATCCTTTTGATCCAGCAAACATCGTCAATTGCAGACACGGCTACTCGGTACTGTGCTTCAGCAGTGGATGTTGCTACCAAACGTTGTTTCTGTGTGTACCAAACGATTGGTCCTCCTCTCATCACAAGTACTCCCGTAGTTGAATGTTTAGTCTCAGGATCTCCACCATAGTCGGAATCCGAGTAAGCAACGAGTGTGTCGCTTCCGCCAAAAAAAATACCATGATTTGGTGTTCCTTTGAGATATTGAAAAATCCTTTTTACCATTCGCCAGTGACTCATCATTGCCTTTCCGTTAAAACGACTTAGAAAGTTAACAGCAAAACTGATATCCGGTCGAGAAATTATGGCCAGGTACACAGGCTTCCAATCGCTTCTCTGTATGGAATAGATGGCGATATGGGTTGATCGTTCATCTTGTCCTCTTCTCCTATTACCATGCCTTTCTCAATAAGAGTTGACTTTGCATTGCACGTATCGAATTTAAAGCGTCGAATGATCTTCTCTGTATACTTTGGTTGACCTACAAAGATGCCTTCTTTGTCAATGTGAATTTCCATTCCGAGGTATGCGACCTTGTTTTGAACTTGACGGCTGTATGTGATTTCGAATTTTGAGTTGATGATGTCGAGTATCTTGTAGATTTCCTTTTCATCATAGCCAGCGATAAGTCCGTCGTCGACGAACAAAGTTATTAGGATAGTCTTATCCTTATTGTAATACAAACAGGGATCATCATCGGTGTTCATTAATCCTATTTTCCTCTCAAGAAATTTTGAAATCGTATCATGCCAGTTCCTCGGAGCCTGTTTCAGTCCATATAATCCTTTCTGTAATTTGCAGACATAGTTGGTGCCATCTTCAAATCCTTCCGGTTGATGCATGTAAATTTCCTCCTCCAGGTTACCATATAGGAAAGCTGTCTTGACTTCAAACGGAACAAGTTTCATCTTCTGGGTAGCTGCATGACTCAGCATAAGACGAATTGAAGTATGACGAGCTACTGGACTGAACGTTTCCGTATAATCAATCCCTTCTTCTTGTTCAAAACCGCGTGCTACCAAACGTGCTTTCAATCTTCCATCTGCCTTCTCACGTAACACCCATCTGCATGTCAACGGTTGAACTCCTTCGGGGCATTTCACAAGTCTCCAAGTTTTCATTTGTGTCAAAGAATTAAGTTCTTCTTGCATCGCACGTTTCCATCTATCATCCTTCAGTGCCTCATTGACAGTGATATCCTGGATTTCTCCTATCAAAGCTACACTTGCACTTCTGTTCAGTGTGAGACCGTCGAGTACATAATCTTTCAGTCGATGTGGCATTGTTATCGCTGATCGATCACGAAGTCCTCGCCTTGGCTGAGGTGTTGTCTCTTCATCTTCATCTTCAGTAATTTTGCCTTCAAGATTTTCTTGTTCTTGATCTTCATGCTTCAGACTTGTATCAGACTCGCATTCTTCATCTTCATGACCTAGATCAGTCTTTTCAGATATTATTGGCACACTTCCTATAATGTCTCGGTATCTCGTTTCCTCTTCATCAAAAATCACATTGTCAGAGCAAATGACTTCTCTTTCTCCAGGTATGTATATTCGATAGCTTGATGACTCGGTGTCATATCCAACAAGGATTCCCTTCCTAGACTTTTTGTCGAGTTTCTTCCTTCTATGATCAGTTTTCAGAACGTAGCAGTCACATCCGAAACTCCTCAGTTTGTTGATATCAATACGACGACCGAACCATAAGTCTGCTGGACTCTTGGCGTTGACTGAGCTGGTGCCAGTCTGATTCAAGGTGAACACGACGTAGTTGACAGCTTCTGTCCATAGATTTTCTTTCAAATTTCGCGCATGTATGACCGACCTCGCAGATTCCACCACGGTTCGCATTTCCCTTTCAACTCTGCCATTCTGTTGTGGTGTGTGAACGTTTGAAAACGTATGCCTGATTCCTCGCTCCTCCAAAAGTTGACATGTGGTTTTGTTCTTTATTTTAGTTCCATGATCCGACCTCAGTTCTTTCACCTTCCTTCCAAATTGATTTTCTACTTGTGTCAGAAATATCTTCAGCTTGTCTGGAGCTTCATCTTTCGACTTCAGATAGTAAACGGTTCGAAAGTGCGAATAATCATCTTTAAAGATCAGGAAATACTTCGCTCCTCCGATCGACGTGACATTCATTTCCCCAAGATCATCTACATGAACTAGATCCAATGATTGAGCTGCTACCTTCTCATTTTTGGGATGTGAAATTCGATGTTCTTTCCCATAAATGCATCCTTCACAGACTCGATTGTTCCAGTCATCTATGTACTTGATGTTATTCCTGTCTAGGATGTCCTTGATGTATTTCAGGTTCTGATGTGCAAGTCTCTCATGCCATGTGACAATTAAAGTTGCGATTAGGCTGGTGTTCATACTGGGTAGTCGGAGCATCACTCTATACAAATTTCCTTCTCGTTGAGCCATGGTAAGAACAGTTTGGTTGTCACTTGACTTGATAATTGATACATCTTTGTTGCACGTCTCAATGTGTCCTCTGTCCATCACTTGACTGAGTGAAATCAAGTTAAAGTTCAAACCTGGTACATAGAGCACGTCTTCCAGAATGACTAGTCTCCAGTTGTTACCATTGTAGGCTTCAAGTTCTATGTCTCCAACCGCTGAGGCCTTGAGTTGATTTGAGTCTCCCATA